TTTTTGTTTCTACTGAGCCTTAAGAAAAAATCTCTCAATTATAATCTATATAATGTCCTTCCCGATACAGTGAGGTGCATGGCGATCGGTCAATTTAAGACTTTCGTCAAAGAGTTCCTTACAAAAAATTGTTTTTATAATATTGAAGAATATATATTTGCCAGTGAAGTGCTAGGGTGACAACATTTTGTATTGTTTTGTATTATACTGTCTATATAACTACTTGTCTCTGTGTGTTAAATTTCAAAGTAAAGTTTTTAAAATCTTGTTTTCAAACTGTAACGAATCTGTGTCCTTGAAATTTTTAATCTGTATAATATTGTATTACTGCTCATTCAATATTCTAAAGTTCTACCTTAATCATGACTTGTCACAAACATCTAAAATTTTAACGTGATCAAATAAATCTACTCTCTACTCTCTCTAAATCCGGTACTGCACCCTCTACGTTCACTTCGAGTAGACTCAACGAAGGGCTTAATCCACGTGCTATGCAGCTTCCATTAGCTTCATCCGATTCGTCAAAATGGCACTCTCAACACTTCTTTTCAGTCCCACTCCCTTCTAATGTGCCCTTCGATTTCTCGTTAGCGCCACAATCCCACATTTAAGAGTCAATTATCATTTTAACTGGCCCACTCAGAGAGGCACTCCAGTTTTTTCTGTTCGAATCCATCAGGGGAAATGAAAGTATGTGGTGTACTTACGACGAATGGGAGCGAAAGCTTGGGAATTCGGTTTATGAAGCGAGTTAGGCTAATACCTACCTTTCATTATTTTCTCACCAGGTCTGGACTCGCTTGAGGAGAATACTTACATTTTTCTATATCTACGATACAAAATTGTTCTTTCTCAATTCGATAATCCTCACGATTTTCATAATGGAAACAGCCTGCTTGGTCGACAAAAATCGTGACAAATATATAGTGTAGCTTAAAAATTTCGTAAGCACCGAAATTCAAGCAACTATTAGAACTGTCAGAAATGATAACTTATGTAAGAACTATAACCTCAATTGCTCTTCCACTCAACCGCACTCAATCCTAATAAGGAGTTCATCCATTGATATACGAATGAGCTCCTTCCTAGACTAAATATCTATATACATTCATAAATATGAATTTTACGATGTACACGACACTTTATGATAATAATCATTAGGAAGTGAACTGTCTTAACTCGATAATCCTCACGGTAATTGATTTTCATATTGAAAACAGCTTGCTTGGTCGACAAAAATCGTGACAAATATAGTGTAGCTTGATAGTTTCGTGAGCACCGAAATTCCATCAACTATTAGAACTGTCAGAAATGATAACTTATGGAAGAACTACTATAAACTCAATTTCTCTTCCACTCAACCGCACTCAATCCTGATAAGGAGTTCATCCATTGATATGAATGAGCTCCTTCCTAGACTAAATATCTATATACATTTCTCTGAATTATGATATTCTATATACATAATATTCACACAAACCTAAATATGAATTTCACGATGTACACGACATTTTATGATAATCATTAGGAAGTGAAGTGCAGGCAAAATCCATTTTTTCAAATTGAAGTGGGGGTTTTCCAACAAATACTTTTTCAACTTTTGTGAAGTTTGAAAGGCTACAGCTATTGAATTCGAATGGAATGTTATTGAGAATTTGGTTGAATTCAAGAGAGAAAGAAGATCTAAATTGTATAATTTTATGGATAGGTATAGTCGAGGGTACAGTGTTAATGAGGACGTTGGAAATAGCATTTTGTGTATAGTTTATCCAAAAACAATAGCAGAATCTTGTGCCGCACCTGCAGTCACTTCAAAGGAATCTTCAAACACGCCGACGCCGCACAGTGCGGGATATTCTGCAATTGATATTGGATATACTTTAACTCTGTGTGTTGCGCAAAATTCCATCGTTACACAAAACACCCAAAGTTCAACTTGAAATAAACTTGACTAGTGTACAAATCATTCTTTCATTTTGATGGTATTTTATGCAGCAAAATTGACAAAAACTACCCATGTGTATTCAGTGTATGAACTCAAAGAAGAAAATGGGATCAATCAATGGACCATCCTCGCTTGCCATTAAAATAAAGAGATTTCACATGAAAATAATTTTGGCAGAAAGTAGGTATAAGTATGGAAAAACCTGAAAAACATCATCATCATAATTTGGAGGTTATATAATTTGACGCCAAGAGTCGCGCAGTAGTAAAAACATTCACACTAGAAGTTGAAAGTTATATTCAACTTGATAGTTCCAGTTTAGTTTTAGTTTCTCTGCATAAAATCAACCATGTCTAACAAGAGGTTCATCTTTTTAGTTAGAGTTGAAGTGTAAATGTAAGTTGGCGTTTACTGTAATCCACATTCAATGCAATTGAAATGTGTCCACGCATTGAGGGGAAAACTGCGTGGGAAAGAAAAATAAACACTTGAGTAGATATACTCCTCGCACATTTTTTGTTTTAATGCCCGCTGTGTGTTGTGTATCGAAACTCCGGTTAAAGCGAGCTTTTAACTTTCAAAAACGTAGAATTCTACAGATAATAACTTGCCCCGAAACTTATCCCATTAACGAGAAAAGACACTTCACTTTTTTGTCTCGGAACTTTTTACTCCCCGGTTAAAATGAAAATAAATTCTTTTGTTAATAGACCGGTACATGAATACGCTATTATTTTCGGAGGAAGAATGATATATATATGGTAAACAGAATCTGAAAATGCACTCTCCGCAATATACACAAGAGATGGTGTGTGCATGGATCGAAGGAGCAAGAACACAGAATTTTACTCACTATCGGCCGATTAAAATTTATATATCGGCTAGCGGACGGTCGTTCAGATAGATATTAGTACCTTGGTAATGACCATATTCAATTAGCCTCTGATATTACCCCAGGTAGATCTACTCAAACTGCATTGATGAGTTTTTTAACTGAATTAGTGGAGATTATTGAGACTGGTGAATGCCCAGCTGCAATATTATGTGACCTGAGTAAGGCGTTCGATTGCGTCAACCACGTGAAATTATTGAATAACTTAGAATTGTATGGTGTGAGAGGAATCTCGAATAACTGGGTTTCTTCCTTCCTCAATAATCGTAGTCAGTGTGTTTCTCGAACATATTTCAACATATTCCTCTGGAATAGGGCAGGTCCGGTTCGAATCCGTATTAGGGCCTATATTATTTTTGTTTTACATTTATAATCTTAATTTCACTTGATTCTTTGGGATTTTCTCTCCTCGTTTCTATAAAATAAAAATATTCGTATTATCTCAATATATTTGTAGTGCGACAAATCAGATGATTTGCCCCAAAATGTCACTGCGATTAACAAATTTTTCTATCAGGGAGTCTAAAAGACTTGGAATAACAATGTGGGCGCGATGCCAGATTTCATTTACTGCTGTTTTATTTCGAGTTAGAATTTTAGTTTAATTCGATCAACCCTTGAATAAATATAGTACTGGAGCTTCTTTGGATATTTTCCTCATTGTTTTCGAACTGATGGTGTAGATAAAAAATGTATTGGGCACAAATCATCATAGTTATTTCTATTGTAAGGTATAGCTGCAAAAAATTTGGTGCAAATTGGAAGAATCTCTCACATATAATTCTATTCTAAGATATCCTACTCGTGGATGTACATCAGTATGTCCTTAATGTCTCTCGAGGATCTATCGCTAACCTAATTCTTAGGAAACAATTGAATTGTATAACTACTCATCCTGATGATGGAGCTTTGAAGCTGACATTTCCCTGCTGTTGATTCAATCACTTTAGAATATAGTTTGATGAAGGTGAATGTATTCGATTGACGTTTCAGCCTGTATACTACACAGAAAAAAAGATTCTTTGTAAATCTAACAAATCTGAGTGTCATATATCCACGACCAAATATTTTGTCACCACAATAACTTTTCATGTCAGTTTCAATTCAAAATTCATTCGATGTAACTCATTAATGATTCGAATTAACAGCAGGAATTGGTTGAATAAACAAAGACTATTTCGTTCCTGTATAAAACAATATCTGCTCTAATGAACAGATTCTGTTGATAGGGATGATCATATCATCTCATTCAAGTGACAAAATTTTCAGTTTCTCAGAGGGTGAATATGTTAAAATAATAATATATATATATTCTGAATATAACAAAACAGTTTTTTCATTGAATGAAACAATTCATTCGATCAACAAAATTGTATTTAGAATTGACAAAATATTTTGTTGAATAATATTGAAAAAAATCCAATAACTAAATTTCAAAACAAAGAGAAATTAGAGATCAATTTCCTCACTCGATTCAAGACTATTAGCTTGTATAAAAGCGTTATTAGAAATTCTAGGACAGCTTTATGAAATTATATAAACAGATGTTCTAGTTAGGTATATGTACACTCCAATCAAGGCGAGCGTTGGGAGGTGGAAACAAACGCCACCTAGTGTCGAAAATGCAACCAGATAATCATTCAACAGAATATTTGTTTGATATAATGTATCTGTGGGTTCTGTTCAACCAAATAATCTGTTGGAAATAACAACATACTTCTTGATAATGATGTGAATCAACAAAATATCATAATCAATTCAATTTTGTCGAATAGAAAATAATCTTTGATTCGTTGCACAATGAGATGATTGTTGAATCAACAAGATATGATGTTGTACTTAGTTGAATCTATGTCGTAATTAATTTAATTTTGTCAAATAGACAAAATGCACATGATTGATTGAAAATTGAGATGATAGTTGAATCATCGAAATTTGTTTTATGTCAACCATAAATATTGTTGAATGAAATGAAACTTTTGTTCAAGTATAAGCATATATTTCAAACTAATTATTTTGTCTTTTTGAATAAGTCGATTATTTAGAATGAACATATATTTTGTTGATTTCGCAAAATTGTGTTTAATTTAACAAAAAAACAAAATTTTGTTTTTAGAACAAAACTTTTCTTTCCGTTATAAGTTTTCCAGGGGTGGTACTTACCGGTGCCATTTTCTGTGCTGTGCATAGTCACCGGGTCGCCAGCAAAGTTCAGACGGCCCTGTCGAGCGGTCTCCTCATCTTCGAGTCCGACCCTGCAACCAAAATTTTTGATTTAGAAATCTGTAACAAGTCCGAAAAATACTGTTTTTTCACGGTAAGACAGGAATTTCGTGTATATTAAACAGGGTCGGCTGAGTGTTGGTACTATCGTCCTTCACTTTTTTTCACCACAGAACTTGGAAATTGTGAAATATCTTCATTTTCTTTCGATTATGATGAAATTCACAGAGTAAAATCGATTGAGCCATGAAAATATTGTACCTAGTTTTCTTTATTGTCGTCATGATGATTTTTCCATATTATCCATGAGTTTTGGCTTATTTTATGCTCAAATTTATATTAGTCTGTATATAACTGGGTATTCCATCGAAATCAAACAATAGTAGGTATAATTTTCAGGATGAAACTAATTCAAGTGATTTTCAACAATAGAGTGAGGGCTCAAAGTACCACTGAGTCGTCCCTGGATAAACTCCTGAATGAAAATGTTTGAATTCCGTTTATATTTTTGAATTCAGCTTGAAATGTTCCGTACAAACATAATTATAATATATCGTTATTTTATCTCAAATCATAGATAGATAGATAGATAGATAGATAGATAGATTGATTCTCATTATTGCATGAATTGATTATTTGTTTTCAGTTCAAGTAATCATATTATGGAAAAACAATTTCATACGCGAAATACTTCCGGGAATTTTTCAAATTAATGTCATTAGCGCATCTCACGACAATCAACAGATATAGATCTCAGTAAATGCACAGAAACAGAAGAATGCTGCACTTTCTCCTAAGAATATAGAAATACAAACTCTAAGATCGCCATTTTAACTGCAGAGGAATTGACTTAAGAACTAGAAATTAAACCTAAGCCCGGACCTAAGCTTAGTGCCACATCCATCAGAATTCAATTTGTTGAGCGTCAAGCCGGTGAAACTGCCCACGACGAGCCTATAACTTCTACAGAAAAAAATGAAGGTTTAATTTTTCATTAATTTGAGTTAATGAAAGTTTTGAAGTTGAATGTATAATATAAATCTTGGTATTTTTGTACAATATAAATCAGATTTCGAAAAAACCCGACCCTTGACACGGTATAATTATGTTGTGTGATGATCTCACATAATCAGAATTTAATTCATGGAAATCATCCATATTTCTCAAAGTGGTCCAATTGATTTTTATAAGAAAAAACAATGGAAGTCCCAAAGTCTGTGGACCACGTGGTCGTGGTCGACATACTTTGGGACTTTCATTGTTTTTTCTTATAAAAATAATCAGAATTTGGTCACCGCTGCATATGTTTTGAATTTTATCAGAGATCGCAACTGAGAAGAACTTTTTCCAAATGTATGAATAGCATTGCGAATATCATTGACTATATATACCTGTAATGGTTGCTATAGTGGGGAGATGAGTTTTTCTGAGCCTAAGCTGATGAAAACCTATCTGCGAGTTGATAACACGAGAATGAAATTTGCTGAAAATATTGACTCTGTTAACCTAATGAGAGAGTTTGCCAATACAAAGAGACGAGTGAAATCTATTAGTTTTATTAAATAAATCGTTATTTTTCAAAATTAATTGATATTTCATTATACCCATTGCCTTCTGTGGAATTGAATTGCAGTAATGGGCCCTGTTTAGGAGGCTATAGCTCCCTTGGGAGCCAATTTTTGACCAATGTTCATAGAACTATTTTTTTTGCTCGAGGAATCTACTGCCAAAATATTGAATGTTAATAATGAGACACCTTTCATACCATCAAATTATCGGGTCACCCTGTGATGCACGCTACTTGCCGAAACAAGGAAACTTCCGTCAACAAACTCGACAAATTGCATAAGCAACATGCCGCGGCATGGGGGCCCAATCGTAATCGACCCGCATGGCCCACACATTGTCTGTACGGTCATCGTCCTATAATAATAATAATAATGATAGATCGCGGAATATTTTCACCGTCAGTCCATTTCTTAAGAGAAACCTCAGACAATTTTACGCACGAAATTTCCTATTATAACCTGACCTAATGGTTCTTAAAATTGTCTCACCCTGTATTAGATCAGGTTAGAATGAGACCTTCGAGGCCAGTTCGGGCTATCTGCCTCCACAACCGGAACTTTTCAGATCTATTGTGTCTGCCCTCCAAATCAAAATTCTTTGACTAGTCGCGCCTTCTCTATGAAACTCCATACTCCATAGATAGGCTAGCTTTTAGATCTGCTTTGGATCTCTGGGATTTTGTTTTTCTTCTCCTAGCGTAAGAATCCTCTTTCTTGACAAGCCCTAACAATTTCAAAGTATGTATGTATTTTTTTGTACTCCAGTTTCCTCCTCTTCCTGACAAAACCAGCACAGCAATTCTTCAGCCAGACCTACATCGTACTCGTGTGTTTGTTGAGCCTACAACTTCTTTTCTAGTTCAGTAGATATTCTGTGAAAATTGGCGATGGTTTTTTAAAGAACTTCTTTGCCTGTCTCATTCCTAGCGAATTGTTTCACCATTCTTCAGACACGTTCTGTGATGACATTTCATACCCAAATTCGACACTTGAAGAAGAAAAACTAGAAGCCCTCTGATGATAATCAACGCTTTGTATGATCAATGAATGCATTCCGAGTGGTGTGATTAAGGAATACATTCAGAATAATTTATAAATTATCCTTATAGTGGGAGAGCCGCCTGCAAAATTCAACCGTCATCTGATAACGAAATGATTTATGTCCCGGAGGCATGCAAAAACATTGTATTTCATCACTGTCTTGAGCATAATGAGTCACGTCAGAGAGTTTTATACTGGTTCATCGGATAATATCTTTCTACAGGTAGGGTTTTAAGATCTACCATTCAATTGGTAGCGGATGGTATAAATCTTATCTGGTTATGAGATCGAGAAATTAAGAGCACAAGAGCCGTTCGATGAAATACAATGATATTACATGCCTTTGGAAGATATATCATTTCGTTATCGTATCATAACTATCGGAATCTCATCTAAGATCTGGTTCTTGTGCATGTTAATATGTCTGTCCTGTATACTTCGATGACAAAACGCGACAAAAACATCAATTAAAATGGCGAAAGCCATCACGAGAGCGCCTAATTGGCACAAATAAAGAAGGAAATCGAACTCGCTCCGCTCAGAAACGCTCAGTGTAACCGCTACCGTTAAATAATTTGGTTTATGAGGCATAATAAAGTTCAATTAGTCGGCCGAAGTGAACGTATAATAAAGCCGTCGGCGGGAATTGACGCTTTTTAAAAATATAATGCCGGGGTAGTTTTAATGAGAGATCGTTAGAGAGATTCTCGAGCACTGGCGTTTTTCATCCGCCATCTATTAGAACAAATTGACACCTGGTAGCTAAGGGAAAAGACGTCGGCACATTGAGGGGAAAATATCCTCAGTGGCAGACCCTAAAATAGGTAGGTTAGGTAAACAAATAGATTCAAACTTGTATAATCTCGATTCCTCGTATAACCTTTCAGTAGATAAGCTATGAACGATCTCTCACATATGAGAATTTCAGGGCCAACGAGTTGATTTTCGAAGCAAACCACGTGACCACCACAAGATCCCTCCCCTCCCATTCAATTTTGCGGTTGGCAAAGTCGCTGAATCACAAGTTATGACGTAAACAGACAAGCAACAGGTGACTAACCATTCAAATAGATAGATTGATGAGTTTTTGTTTTTGATGAGGTTGAATAAGAGACTGTAAGAAACTTGTTGATCCCTACGTTTGAATACATGTTATTAACTCTTGTGAAGTGTTCACCAATATGGAGTTTGGTCAGGTGCAGGTATTCTGTGTACAGTCCATTGGGTATCCATTTTGTGATGTGTCATGGTTCATGGTATCAGCCGCAGAGGCACTCTAGCTCCCAGGCAATCCCTTTTTTACTTCACCTATATGTATATAATCGTAATCAGGAGAAATAGCTCTATAGATTCGGAAAATAAAATACAGGGTGTTCCATTTGAAAAATACAATCTTATGTAAGATTTTTAGGTTTACGATGCTTTTTCTGTATTTTCAAGTAATACATTATAAATGCCCATAAAAAATACTCCACTTTTGCCAATTTGAACGTTTCTGTAAGACCAATATTACATATGAGGGTGACAGGTTCAAATTTGTCTGCATATTTCTTTGTAACTTGCCAGAATCTACCCAAATAATGAGAACGAATAAGTAAAGTTATGTTCTGCCACTGTGTTTCCACTGGAATTCTTATATTCCACCTCGTTATGATAACGATCTGGCTTGATTCGTCTGAAGACGATACTCTGATATCCCGCTGATGGCTTCCCCCTTTTGGGGTATCCTTAAGGAAACCAATTGTCATTTGTCAGAAGAATAACGATAATCATTGTGCCCTTCTATAGTCGCTACAACACGAGTTAGAGTTTCAGATACAACTAGGAAAGATTGTCGAGCTGAAATTAATTTCGCTTAGTTGAATATATTCAGCATGGAGGAAAAACTGCTTTAAATATAGAGATGGGTCTTCGAGAGGCTACAAAAGTCTTTCAAAACCCTCAGTAGGTGTTGGGTAGATCTACTCTAGATGACTTTTTGGTCTCTCACTCTCTCATTTTCTGAGATCTACCAGCAGGTGATTTTTGCTTGTTCGAAAGAAAGGCTTAGAACCGATCACTTGTGTTTCGTCAGAAGTCTCGGTGGAATGGATTATTTGAATCAAATAGATAGGTACTGCATACCTATATCGACTCTATCAGTGAAATCAAATTCCGTTTTGCTGACATATACCCGTCTCTTCTTCATTTTCTCGACTTCTCTTCTCTTCCTTCTGCTTTGTCTCGGATATGAAACTCTAAACGTCAGTACCTTGGATATAAACTATCAGAATCCATCTTTTGGGACTTATTTAGATGATGAAATTAAAATGTCAAATATCTAAACCTAAAATCAAGTGAGCACTTTAAAGGCGCAAATTCATTACTGCATGGGAGATACTGTTTCAGATTTTTATCTATTCAGTGACTTGACCAAGAATGAT